TTGAACTTTAATGCATTTCACCCTTCAACTTTTCAGTTCTTCAATGGAGTCCATTTCCTCATCTTCTTTTCCAATCTTCTTCGTAAAATTTCCTTTTTGCTCCCGAACCTAACAAGGAAGACAAAAACAAAACATATTAGTTAAAATAAAAATAAAATTTTATTAAAATTTGAGTTATGACAAGAGCAGATTGTAAAATTTTATCTTGAGATTTTGTGGTATCAGATTGTGAATTGGATAAGTTCCGAGCCTTGTGCACTTGTGGGATCCGTCTCACGAGTGCACGGCGTCTGTCGCGCCTTGGATTCAGGTTCTGGGGCGTGACAGCACTATTGCAATGAAGTAGGACGTTCTTCAAGTGGATATCCTTAACAGAAAAACCAAAAGAGTTAAATTCCACACTACAATTGTTGTCTTTAGTAAACTGACGAACAGAAATTAAATTCTTACGAAGATGCCGAGAGACAAGCACATTATTAATTTTAAAGGAATGACTAGACGATGACAACACTGTATTACCAGAATGAGTGATAGGAAGTAATTGACCATTGCCAACCTGGATAAACTCTGAACCGGAGTAAGGAGAGGAGTGGGAGAGATTACCAGGAGCACTAGAGACATGGGTATTAGCACCAGAGTCAATATACCATTTGCTGTCCGGAGCGGTAGGGAATGTTGTGGCTGTAAGCGCTGTCAGAGCAGAAGACATTGAGGCAATATTTGTGCCAATTAGCAGAGGGCAGTCACGAGCCTTATGAGTCAATTGATCACAAAGTTGACAAGCGGTGACATGTGGAGATGCCATGGACGGATTCGGCAATAATGGTGGTAAACTACTGCCACGGAAATGAGAGGAAGGATGGCCATAAGATGAGTGCTGCGATGAGGAAGGATGCCCAGCAGTATTGAGAAAAGATGGGGAACCATGCCCTGGATTTGTGGGTGCTCCAGGATAGAACCCACGATCAAAATTTGAGAAGGAGCCACGAGAATTACGACCGCCTCGACCACCTCGTTTGTTACCACGGCCACGAAGCTTCCACGGCCTCGGTTCATGCCATAGAAATCAGGCCGGGACTGAGTACCAGAATAATATACCTCAGGAATTGAAGAGCCCATACCAGAAGAGTGAATCGAGGTCTGCAACACCTGTTGTGCATTGGAGTTAACAAAAGGGAAAGCACTTGTAGATTTTTCTCTTTGCAATGTTGATTCTTCAATAAGCAGTAAAGATTGAAGCTCCACAAATGAAGGAAAAGGAGATCTATGCGGAATAGTTCTCTTAGCAACACTATATTCAGCATCAAGTCCTGCAAGAGCCTAAAAGACTATGTCTCTGTTAGTCAAACACTCACCAACACCATACATGTTATCTGCTGCCTTTTTGACAGATTGCAAATATTGGAACATGGACTGGCCGGATTGTTTTTGGAGAGAAACGAACCCTTGCTTAACATACATTTTTCTGGTAGCTAACTGATTTTGATAAGAAGTATGAATGGCATCCCAAGCGTCCTTTGCAGAAAGAGTTTTACCCGGTTGAATAATCATTTGCAATATATCTGTGGAAATAGTGGCATGAATCCAGGATAAAATTTGGTAATCAATCTGTACCCAGGCGTCATAATTCGGACGAGAAGGTGGAGGACACAAATCTGTACCATCAATATGGCCATATACCCCCTTGCTTTTGAAGACAGGAATCATCAACTCCTTCCAAATAATATAATTGTCATGGGTTAAGGTTTCTGGAACAAAAGTTTTGATATTTGAGACTGTGAACACGGGATGAGAAAAGAAGGAAGAGGGTGAGGCATGATAAGTCGGTGGAAGGCTTGGGGTGGGTAGAGTATTGAAATGGGGAAAGGACGAAAGAGTAGGTGGAGTGAGTGTGGTGGGTGGGACAGCATTAAAAAGAGGAATTGGAGTAGAAGGTTGAGAATTAGACAAAGAAAAGGTTTTTGAATCTGAAGAAGCCATAGCTAGAGGTTGGCAAAGACCTAGAGACCTAGAGAATAAGACGAAAATTAGAAAAGAGACTTGGTGCCGAATTGCGGCTCTGATACCATGAAACCGTGAATAATGCTCCTCATTCCAATACAGAATTAGGGTTACATATTTATATGTATATACAGCACTATACTACATAAATTACATAAATACCCTCAAATATTATACTGTCACTTACCGTAAAATCTCTTTCTTTCTGTTGTCGTTCAAGCTTCATTAGGAGGAAGAGCTTTCTTCGATTAATACGTGTGTTGTTTCTTTCCCAAATGCAGCAATTTAATGCTAATTTGAGGCTTTTATTATGCAGAGATTTCTACATTTCTTCACGCATGTGAGGGTGATGCGGTGACAGAGCTCACTAATGAGAAAATACCGTACTTTAATGCTCCAATCTATCTGCAGAACAAGACCCAGATAGGGAAAGTTGATGAAATCTTCGGTCCCATAAAGGAGTCTGTAAGTCTGCTTCCCTTCATAATCCTGTCTGCCTTCTAATTCCTTTCATTCATCTGTTCAGTTTTAGATTGATTGTGATTTTCTTTTGGATGCAGTTTTTTTCGATCAAAATGTTAGAAGGGATTGTAGCAACTTCTTATGTGCCTGGTGTTAAGTTCTACATTGACCCAAACAAGCTTTTGCCTCTCGCAAGATTTCTTCCACAACCAAAGTATGTCCACTATTCTTATCTTTTACACCAAAATTTGCTTGATGCCTAGTGTTTTTGTGTCTACTGTTTCTTATTAGTTCAATTGTTATACTCAAAACATGATTGGCTGGTTCTAGACATATCTCAGCAAATTCCATATGCAATTTATATGTTGTGTTCCTCTGGTCCTGGTTTTTAGCAAATGTGGATGGTTTGTCCATTTATATCAAAGTAGGTATTAGTTGGAGGACGAAGACTGATTGAAGTTGATGACATGAATAAGCACTCTGTTTAAGGATCACATCAACAATGAAAGTGGGGATGCATTGAGACTGGTTAATGGACTTGCATGTGGTTTAATTGGATGGATGTGTAGCAGATTTAGGGACTTGGGCAACGTGGTCTACAATAGTAGGCTTTAATGTGTATCTTCCTTGGCTATTTGCAAATTAATTTGCTGAACTACCTTGTGTCATGCCCTCTTCTTATTGGACTTCAATTGCTTTCTGATAAATTATATCCCTTCAAAAATCATATACTTGCCTTAATAGATTATTTCTTTTATGTATTTTGTATTACCTCTCATTCAAATAAATCTTAAAATGGCGCCCTGTTCTGTTGTTTCCAGAGGCCAGTCACAACCTGCTGCAAGAGGT